AAAGAAAGAAAGGCCTAGGGCTGGTCTGAATGTTTGTAGTCTTGATAGCTCTATTTAGATAAAATGGAAGATACAGAATCTGAAAACTTTTGGGAACTTAAGAGAATAATGCACTTCTTTTCATCCAACAGTAGAGGTCATTCTTAAAGAAGAATGGAAAGTATCTTAATTAGAATTTGTGATGCTGCCATTCAACCCAGGAAGGAAAGAGGAAAGGTCTCCCACCCAAGATAGGAACTTGATGCCACCTGTTTCCTGGGACCAATGGGTAGAAAAACCAGTTGTAAACAAGGCAGAAGGTTTTTGTGCTATAGGCTGAAGCTAGAGAGGCATGCAAAAACAGGGGTAACAGACCAGAGATTAGAAATGAGAAAGTAGGGTCTGGAATAGTAACAGCCTTGTAAAGCCTGCAGGGACAAATATTAAATTCCTGGAGAAGTTCAGTGCAAAATATGGAGAGCCAAAAGAAACAAATTAGAAGGAAGAAAACCTATACAAAAATAACATGGTTTCCTTTTTGCAAGAATCAACTCATAAAATGGGCAAGGCATAAAAAACAGACTGAAGAATTGGGAAAACTGAAAATGCTAGCAACATACTACTATTAATAGGAACAATAGCTAGTCATGGTAGTGTCTAGAAAGGCTAGCTATATCACAAATATTTCAGAACTGATTGATGATACAAGAATATCAACTTGAGGCAGCTGAACAACAGAAAAGGCTCCTGTCACCTTTTCCCCCAAAACTCATCCTGAATCACAAGGACCAGGGATGTCTTCAGCCTTCTGCTTTCACAAGACAAGCTATCTAGTTCTGGCCATCTCTTCTTCCAGGAATAGATTCATCACTGAGAGTTAATTTAGGATTATTTGGTTCTGTACTTCCATTTGATTCCAAGATGGAATCCCATCAATTCCACTTCCACTTTCTTGCCCTTTTTTCCATGGAATGGAATGAAAAGAACAAAATAATAACAACAAATACTGCTCCTCCACAGTAGCATATGAAAACCAAAGCAGCCTAGAGAAGCCCCATTTCTGCATGGTTTCTCTTGCACTTCATCTTATATCATGAAAAGTAAGAATTAATCAATGTCATTAATTAATTAATTGGTGGATTAAACCTACAACTCCCATGGTATTGCTTAGGTAAGCCCTATGCATCATTGGATCTGTTCTGGGCTACATCTAATCCTTTGGATACAGGTTCATACAGGGGTGGGATTCTACAGGTTTGCACTTATTCGCTAGAACCGGTTGTTACCATTCTAAGCAGTTCAGAGAACCGGTTGTTAGAAGAAATTACTGGCCTAATCCTGTAAGGAAGGCAGGAAGGAAACATTCTGGTGTTGCTTACAGAAACTGCCTCTCCAGTAACCCTTATTACATTCTTGGCAGGACTGGACTTCCTGTCTCTGGAACTTCTCTGGAGTTTTTTCCCCCTCCTTTGCTGGTACTTAGCTTGTGTGGAGGGACCATTCAAAGTTACAATGGTATTGAAAAAAGTGACTTATGACCACTTTTCACACTTATGACTGTTGCAGCATCCCCATAGTCATGAGAGGCCAGGCAAAGAGATGTGTGCCTCAGTGTGAGTAATGTTGAGTTGGCCACACCCAGCCAGTCACATGACCACCAAGCCATACCCCCCAACTAAGCCACGCCCACAAAACCAGTTGTTAAAAAAATTGAATCTCACCCCTGGGTACAAACAGTCCACCTTTTCAATCACAATTGGACCTGGCAACTCCATCACTAAGTGAAGTAGTCACTAAGTGGGAAATCACAATGTGCTTTCCTTTTCACCACTCTTCTGCTCTTTGAAATGCCTATCCTGTGCTGGGATAATTAGCAAGAAGAGAATTAATGTCTGTATTTACATTATATTAATTGGAAGGAAAAGGATTAAAGAGAATAAGTGGGGACACTTATGGGGAATATACATTAAAAGCAATGCACTGGTGACATCTCCACTGTATGCCTCTTTACTCTCTTGTAATTCCTTCTCCAATCGCTCTGCTCTGCTAAAGACGGGATGAGGTAAAATGGATCAGGTACAGAAGAGATTGTTTAGAAATTGCTTCTTTTGTGAGAACAAAACCAACGTATGAAGAATTAATTCAATATTGCTTTTATTTTGTTTTAGGCATTTATTTTATATTTCTATGTGAATGTAATAATTGGTTTACTCAATATCTTCCTCAAATGATCTTGCAGATCCTCCTTGCTTTGTTTATAAAATAAAATGAGTGAAATAAATTTGTGTGTTGCTTCTCTGGATTCATGACAAAACTTAAAAGTTAATGGGTCAGTTTGTAATCTGTAGCTCTCTATCACAAAACACGTGACTCACAGTGTTGCAAGGAGCATTGATATACACGGAAGGTGAAAACAGTAAAAAATGCAGGGATTTTTATAGCAGTGTATTCAAAGTTCTGCCCCTTTATACCTGCATACAAGATTTACCCATTTACAAAATGGATGGGGCTTGAATTGTGCCACTTCCATTGTACCACTTCCATTGCCTTTTTGTCTGTTTTGTCTGTTTCATCTTCCCAACATATTTGGGGAAATTTGTATTGCATAACATTGGTTGGTTCTGAAATCTTACTAGCACTTGAAATTCAAATAAAGCTGAGATTTCTTATGACACTACATTGTATAAGCAGCTTATAGGCAATTTGTTTTCCTTCTGCTGGAAATGCTGGCTTCACCTAATTGTTTTGCATAATCTAAATCTAAAATGGATTCACAAATTCTCTCTCTCTCTCTCTGAATACTTACAGAAATGGGTGTACCACTGAACGCAGCTACTAAGCTGAAACATTTTTCTTAATACTTTCCCAAAAAGTTGGTTTTAGATGATAATGGAGAATGCAAAATCATGGGAATGGATGATGACAGCAACAGACCAAACTTTAATCAAGAAAAGATTAAAAGATGTCTATTTATCTATCTTGGGAAAAGATCAAATTACTAAATTTAAATCTTAAAGCTGATTTTTGGATGAAGGACCATATATATCCTTAAACTTCTAAGAAAGGACTGCTATGCTTGTCAGTATAATCCATAACTGCTTAAAAAAGAAAGAAAGAAAGAAAGCAATTAAGGGTGTGTTGATTTTAACTGGAAATCATACTTTGAGGAAATCAGCAGGAAAACCATTTGAAGCTTGTCAGGTGGAATAGCTTTCTCTCTCATATCTAAGGCAAGGTGTCATTTGAGGTTGAACCTTCAGGACTCGAGGTTACATGGAGAACTCCAGATGGAAGAGTTAAATGAAGGTTTTTATTTGTTTAATCTCAGGTAGGTGGCCTGCTTCCTGAACCAGCCATTTTTCTGTAGACATACCATATGCGTATCCCATATACACATAGGTATATACATTACATATATCATAGGTGTATGCTTATATGTGATCCCTGTCGCTTCCTTCTTTAAAATGGAGAAGTGTACATATCTGTTCGTCAGAGCTTCTTGAATAAAAGAATGCAAACATTGCCATATTCCTATATTCCTTCCCATTCTTTATTAACTGAGACAACTCAGAGGTGCGGTTGAGGAATCTGACACAGGGCAGGATTCGTGCTTTCATTTTTTCCCAGGATTAACATTCACCTAGGGATGTTTTTTCTCTGCAGGACAGGAGACATTTTGAAGCATCATTAGCATTGGCAACCCTCCACCTCAGCAGTCAAAGATAGTAGCCGCTATGGAGATTAAACCTTTTTCTGAGAGGACATGGCAGGTGATAATGGAAGACTTACAAAAGGAAATGGGCTGCTTTCAAAAGCTCCAAAGATTTCCTTTCTATCAAAAAGAAGCTTTAGGCTTATGGTAAAATAATATCAGATTTTCTTTTAAAAAAATGCCTGAACAGTGCATGCATGTGAAATCTTTGCAAAATTTAAATAAACCGCTTGATGTTCCTCCATTGCTAGACTTCAAATGGGATGTTTTGTTCTTTACTCTATAGTTTCCGTTACATTATTTTTCCTTGTTTTCAGTCTCATGAACTAATACAGGTAGTAGCAAATCTGCTTTGAAAATATTTAGTAGGAGAATTCATTCCTGCTGCAGAATTCACTGGTCTCAGTTTACTGCAAAGAAAGCTAACTGGTAAAATCCCAAAGTACCATCTCTAGGCCCATTCAGATCAGTCTTTATTCCGTTCCCTTTGGAGATTGGAAAGCTGATGAGGCCATGATTTGAATTCAAAGTTCTGTATCGAGATCCGAGAGCAAAATGACTTAAGCTTAAGATTAATGTTAAACAAAAGATTCATTCATAAACTAAAAAGAAAAACATAATTAACAATCCTGACAATACTTCACATTTTGGGCAGAGTGAAATGAAAATGGGACATTTATGATTATAACATTAACCTTTAGAGCAGGGGTGTCAAACTGGCGGCCTGCGGGCCGAATGACTCACGCACAGGCCACACCCACCCCAGCTCCGTGAAGGGGCGAAAAACATCACAAAATGTCATGTGACAACAATGTGATGTCGCGAGTTTGACACCCGTGCTTTAGAGCAATGTTTCTTAACCTCTTAACTCTTAAGCTGTGTGGACTTCAATTCCCAGAAGTCCCAGCCAGCATGTCTGCTAGGGAATTCTGAGAGTTGAAGTTCATGCATTTTAAAGTTGCTGAGGTTGGTAAATGCTGCTTTGGAGGACATTAACAATGTCATGTTTCAATGGTTTTACCACAATAAATGTTTGTATATATTCCTCCTCTTTTTAAGGCAGAGATGATAGGAATGAGGATAGGACAGCACAGCAGCATTTTTTCCCCTCACAAAACACTCAGGTTTTGCTGATTGAACCAATGCAGAAAATATCCTGCTTAAACTTGGAAATAAAAACTTTCAAAAACTAGAGAAATAAATGATTGTGGTTTTTTTTTTTTTTTTTTGAAGCCAGGGTTCGCATCACCAACCCTGAAGAACCCTAGTTGAATTGGCCTTGTGATATAGCTTTGCTCAGGGGGATGCAAGGTGTGGCCCCCAAAAATCAAGGGGGCAGCCACTAAGTTGTGATCAAAACTCTGCATGTGCAATGCACATTTTTTTAAAAAAAGAAACGAACAAGCAGAGCTTTGATCACCATCACCCAGGGGTGAAATTTAACCACCTTGGCCAGGCTTGGGAGAGGTGGTAGGGACGATTTGAATCGGTAAAAAAAATTGCCCCTGATTGCTATTACTATAATACCAAGCCATGGCCACAGCCACAGCCATAGAATACGTAGGGAAAAATTTTGAATTTCATCCCTGCCTTCATCATCGTAGTCAATGTCTCCACCTTTTTGGACCCTATCCTGCAGACACCTCTGGAGTCTTTGTTGCTCAATCAGTGGTAGGAGTCTTGGTGGCACAGTGGTTAGAATTTAGTATTGCAGGCAAACTCTGCTCACTACCAGCAGTTCGATTCTCACTGGCTCAAGGTTGACTAGCCTTTTATCCTTCTAAGGTCGGTAAAATAAAGATCCAGATTGTTAGGGGCAATATGCTGACACTGTAACTGCTCAGAGAGTGCTGTAAAGCACTATGAAATAGTATGTGTATACCATAAGTATAAATGCTCTTGCTATTGTAGGATACTAGCAGTGATGGCACTGGCTTAAATGGGATAACAGGTTAAGCCACACTGATTCACAAACCTTAGCTAAAGCCAGGGGTGGGTTGCTGGGAGTTTGCAGGGGTTTGGGAAAGCCCCTAGCTAAGATACTGTGCAGTTTGGAGACCCCCCCCCCCAAATCCCACTCTTGGCTGGCCCTGCCCACCCCGCCCCTCCCAGGAGTCCCCACATGCTTTGGCTGCAAGTTAGTGCAGGGTGTGCACAGAGGCTCAGGAGGGTGAAAAATAGGCCTCCCTGAAGTTCAGGAAGGCCAGAAATGGGCCCATTTCCAGCTTCCAGAGAACCTCCGGAGCCCAGGGAGGCTGTTTTCTCCCTCCCAGAGGCTCAAGGAAAGCCTCTGATACCCGGGGAGGGCAAAAACACCCCCCACCTGCCATGGTGCAAGAGGCCGACTAGGCCACGCACACCATGGCCACGCCCACCCAGCAACCAGGCAGAGAACCCTGTGGTAAAATTTTTGAAGCCCACCTCTGACTAAAGCTCTGATGCATCAGAGTTGGGGAAATCCTTTAAATCAACGTCCCTCAACCTTTTGGGCACCAGGAACTGGTTCTGTGGAGAAAGGATTTTCCGTGGACTGGAGGGGCCATAGTTTGGCTGCCTGCATCCCAGATGGGGCTTCGCTTGTTTCCGCGGCCGAATTGCTGGCATGCTGTGGACCTGGACTGTGTGTGTGTGGGGGGGACCTTGCTTTAAGTGTGTTAGTCAGCAGAGGCAACTGAACAAATCTCTCATAGGGAGGTAATGAGATAATGGCATTTGTACCTCAGTTCACATTTTGTCTTTCATAATGAATTTCAGCAGTGAATTGTCAGAGATGTTGGTAATTAAATAATGATTTTTATTTAATGCCCATAGGAGTTTTTACATACAAAATGGCATATACCTCTATATTTCAGGAAGCTAGCAGTGCATAAGGCACTGAACTAGAATTTCAATACAAATGTTTCCTCTGGATTCAACTTAATCATTGTGAAATTGCCCTAGTATAATGACACCAACCCACACATAGGGTTTTGTGAGTCATGAGAGAAAAGTTTCTATTTTAATTCTAATTTTTTTTTTTTTTAGATTTCTGAGATTAGAACATAAGCCTTGAAACTCAGTAACATATTCCACCCATTTTTGTTATTTTTATTTGTTATCCTGTGAAGAAAAGTTGTAAAAATCTTGCTGATTGTTGTATCTTTTCTTGTAGGTCTTCACAAATGTATTGTCCTTTGAAACTAATGATTTTTAAAAATATGTTAATATGCCAACATGAATATAAACATTTTCTAAATAGCACAATTTATTTTAAATGTTTATTTCATAGCAAATTATTCCCCCAGATAAATTTCTACTAAATAAATAATTACTAAAAATAGCTTCACCATCTTATTATTATTACACTTTAACAGAAATTCTGCTATTTTGAAGACACTCTTTCTGAAAGTTATACTGGCTTGCAAAGTTATTAGCAATATGTGAAATTCTAAAGTTGATAAACAATATGTGAAATTCTAAAGTTGATTTAATGTTGATAAAAATGAATTGTTCATTGTAAGTCTCAGATAGTAAAGTACATCAAAGTAGTTCATAATTTTCCAGAATTCCATTTGTTTGTTTCAAGGCTTCTACTTGCTACTGGATTAATGTTCCTCATTACAATATTTATTCTGAAAATTATTCATCCTTCCTTTATAATCACAATTAAATGTGCGTTAGAGATTTCTTGAGAAAACACAGCCTAGAAGGAAGTAAAATATTTCACAAGTCCTACTTCAACTCTTATTTTCATTCCAGATTAGGGCCTAAGTGTTATGATGCTCTTAGACTGTAATAAAAATCTGATTTAATTTGAAATGGACTAAGCTAGCAACTCATTGTCCAAAATGCTGCTTGTTCCATCTTGAAGTGGCTCTTGAAACTGACTCCTGAAAACCTCACAAGATCTGGATAATAGAACTCATAAGATCTGGATAATGGATCAAATCTCACAAGATCTGGATAATAAAATTTCAGAGGAAAAAACTGTAAAGATGCTTAACTGTGAATTTAACTTCAGGTTTTTATTCTCATAGTAATGAGATCCCTGGATCTCTGAGCAAAATGTGTCTTGTCATATTACTTTTTTCCATGATATTGTTGTGATCCAGTCCTCAGATCAGACCTCTCCAGTCATTGGAAAATAATGCTGCATATAAGATAAGTCAAGGGATTATAATGCATCAGTGCATGCTGTTAATGTATTGCTATCTGCTTATGAAGGCAGCCTTGCTGTATTCATTTTTGGGGACAGACACTATTTTAAATGCATTAATTTATTTGAAAGAGTTTTTGCTACAGTGGAATATGCTGATGGCAACACTTCACCAGCTTGTCTGGATTTGGTGAGGAAGCAGAGTTTGGGTTGGTTAGGTCTTGGGTGGAAGACCGCCAGTGAATTCTAGCTTCATAAAGCTAGAACTGAGAAGTTGAAAACAATCTGCCGCAAAAAGGCAGCGACAAACTGTCTGGGAAAGTGACCTATTTTGCACTGCATACTAAACTCAATGTAAATCTTCCACCTTAGGGCTTAGCTTTATAGGTGAGTCAGGTCAATAAAACAGTTGCACAATCTCCCTAGATATAGAAGGACTATGGATTTGCTAAAGCATTTTGCTTATTTCCAAAAGAAGTTGTTCAACAATTTTTTTTTGAAGACTAATCCTATTATTTATTTATTTATTTATCAAATTTGTATTATGAACCAGCCCTTCAAGAGTTTGAATGATGAGGAGTTAAGAATGGCAGATGTGGTGTCTGTTATCTCCTTACTTCCATCTTTTGGGAAAAGAAATCCCAATGCCCCATCGCATTATTTTTATTTTATTCCACCCTCCTCTTAATATCAGTGGTGTCACAATTGGCACATACAATAGACTGGCCAGCAATTGAGTTTGGTTTCATTAAAATGAAACAATGAATATTATATTCCACCTCAGTATAATTTGGGGTTTCTCTCACCATTCTTCCAGTGAAATTGGTGTTGAGGGTGGGGGAGAGGGACAGGTATCTGTCTAGATATATCTATTTGAAGTTGTTGAATGGCTCATAAAATGACTGGCTTATCACAAGGGCTTTAAAATAAAATTGAGAGGGGAAGGGGCAACCTTCATGACTTTTAGAACCTAATTCTAAGCAAAAACCAGTAGATAACCAATCACATAAGGAGGTAGGGAGTAAAGAGAAGGAAGAAATAAAAAAAGAAAAACATAATAAGGTAGAGAGTGACGGAAGGATGGAAATCCTAATTACAAAGTAGGAGATATTAAAAAAAACATACAGACCCATAAAGGACTCAGATGCCTATACACAGCTGGTCATTTGCATCCTTTTAGAGCACCTTTGGGACAACCATGACCTAGATGACTGAGAACTAGTAGCACTACTCAGGTGACCTTGAGGACACAGATAAACCTCCAAGTGCTTCAATGATCCTCTAAAAGGATGCAAATGATCACTTGTCTGCAAGGAAAATAAATCCTTCCATTCCCCACTATTCTGTCAGAGCTGAAGAAGCTTCTTGGATGAGAAGCAAAACCAGAGGTGGTATTCAGCAGGTTCTGACCAGTTCTGAAGAACCGATAGGGGAAATTTTGAGTAGTTTGGAGAACCGTCTAATCCCACCTCTGACTGGAGATTTTACAGTCTCCTTCCCCTGCCATGCCCACCAAGCCACGCCCACAGAACCAGTAGTAAAAAAATTTGAATTTTACCACTGAACAAAACATCTTCAAAGAAAAAAAAACAAGAAAGTCCAGTTGCCTCCTGAAAAAGCACCTTTGGGACAACTATGATCTGGATGACTAAGAATCTCTACAGACATTTGACAAAGTAGACCACAACCTACTTCTTAGTAAACTAGAAAAATGTGCAATAGACAGTATCAGCAACAGATGGCTATGTAACTGGCTGACAAACCATACTCAATGAGTAGTCCGTAATGGCACTACATCTACATGGAGGAAAGTAAGTAGTGGGGTACCACAAGATTCCATCTTAGGCCCAGTACTCTTAAATATCTTCATAAATGGCTTAGATGGGGGAATAGAAGGTGAATCATTAAATTTGCAGATGACACTAAGCAGGCAGGAATAGCCAACACCCCAGAAGACAAGCTCAGGATCCAAAAAGATCTTGACAGACTTGAACAATGGGCTCTATCCAACAACTTGAAATTTAATGTGGAGAAAAGCAAGGTTTTACATCTAGGCAGAAAAAACTAAAGGTACAAGTACAGTTTAGGTAAAATCTCAGAGTCCTATTGGAAACTTAACTTAAACATGAGCCAGAAGTGTGTGGCAGCAATAAAAAAAGCTAATACAATCCTTGGTTGTATAAACAGAGGCATAGAATCAAAATCACATGAAGTATCAGTATTTGTGATGACCCAGGGTGGGATACAAAAACAACACAGGCACAAAACAGGTGAAGTCCCTTTAATTTCTTCAACTTGGCTTCAAAGCTCCAAATATCCTTGACTGGAGACAAAAAAACTCCCCCACAAACAGTTGCAAAAAGGAGGAAATGCCGTTTAAACTAAAAATACCTATAAATTATAACTAGAAAAAACAACACAAACCACACTGAAGCAATTAAGGGAACCAGGCAAGATAAGGGCTTGAAGACGTCCACAGATATCGGAATACACACTGGGAAGGATGCCAAACTCAGGTAAGAACGGACAGACTAGAAATATTTTCATGCTTTGTTTCCAGCACTGGCTCATGCACAGTCCGCCCTTTTAAATAGTTCTCACAGCTGCAGCCCATGAAGGGGATCAAGGCCCTTTCCTCCCCTGTAGATCACGCCATTCAGGTTTCTCCCTTATCCTCTCCTCCCTGTGTGCCTTTGGATGGAGAGGGGATGGGCCTGGGTCCTCCTCTGCCCAGCTGGCCTGTGCCCTTCCCCAGCCTCCTCCACAACTTCTGGAGCCACACTTCCACTCCCTGTTGGCTGTTCCTCCTCTCCCTCGGAATCAGTCTCCAACAGGGGCATGACACTATTGCTTTATAAGGCAATATTAATAAAGACCACACCAGTGGTGGGATTCAATTTTTTTTACCACCAGTTCTGTGGGCATAGCTTGGTGGGCACACTTCGCATGTGCACGCAAACAGAGGGTTTGCTACTGACCTTTTCCTGCAATCCTGCACTCTTGTTGTGTCTTCAACAGCTGATACGTGGCAATCCGCTTTGCCGTGTAAAGCATGAGCTTCAAAACCAGGAAATCAAGGTCAGAATAGAGCCGGGGCGGGCAGGCGGGTCCAGCAGTTGATCGTTGGAGTGAACCAGTTCAATCACAGATGATTCTCGGAACTACTGCTTTGGCCGAATTGGGCCGAACCAGTACAATACCACTCCTGGACCACACCTGGAATACTGCATCCAGTTGGTTTGGTCACCACATTACAAAAAAGAGATTGAGACTTTGGAAAAAGTGCAAAGAAGAGAAACTAAGATGATTAAGGGCCTGGAGACAAAAACATATGAAGAACAATTGCAGGAATTGAGTATGGCCAGTCTAGAAGTAAAAAGGACTAGCGGTGACATGATAGCAGTATGCCATTATTTGTGGGGCTGCAATAAAGAAGCGGGGTGTCAGCTTATTTTCTAAAGCACCAGAAGACAAGACAAGAAACAATGGATGGAAGCTAATCAAGGAGAGATGCAACCTGGAATTAAGGAGAAACTTCCTAATAATGAGGACAATTAACCAGTGGAACCAAGGGGTGGGATTCAATTTTTTTTTTACTACCGGTTCTGTGGGCGTGGCTTGGTGGGTGTAGCAGGGGAAGGAAAAGTAAAATCTTGGTGGGTGTGGCAGGGGAGGGAAGTAAAATCTTCAGTCAGAGGTGGTATTTGCCGGTTTTCCAGACTACTCAAAATTTCCACTAACGGTTCTCCAGAACTGGTCAGAACCTGCTGAATACCACCTCTGAGTGGAACATCTTGCCTTCAGAAGGTATGGGTACTTCGTCACTGGAGGTTTTTAAGAAAACACTGGACAACCACCAGTCTGAAATGGTATAGAGTCTCCTGCTTGAGCACAGGGTTGGACTAGAAGACCTCCAAGGTCCCTTACAGTAGAAACTTCCAATTTCCTTTGTAGCAAATATAAGTACAAAATGATCTCTTACTCTATGTTTATTTTAAAAAAAAACCTCACTTTTTCTATCAACCTTTTTTTCTAATAGGGTAATAAATACCACAAGTCAGAAGTTCATTTTTTCCATTTCATGCAAAGTCTACAAGGGATTTCCAGTTAGCTATAAATGTAGATATTGTTTTTGTCTGATCAAAGAAGTTAATTGAGCCATCTCCACAAGTTGCATCATCTGCATCAGCCATTCTTCCATTGTGGGAAGCGTCAAACCTTTCCATTTTTTTCCCAGCATATCAGTAATCTCACAGCAGTTGTACATGAAAACAAAGTTGCAGGATTTTTTTTTCTGAGTTGCCTATCCATTAGTCCAAATGAAAAGTTCAGATTCAGTTATACTGTAATCTTTAACATCTTCTGAATTAATATATGCATTTGTATCCAATTTTGATAGCATTTTTACACATAGAGAAATGCAAACATTTTAGACAATCTGTTGTGAAGTCAACTTGCATTCATATTTCATAATAATCCAGACTGTCAGGCACTTGTGCTAAATATACACTGCTCAAAAAAAATAAAGGGAACACGTAAACAACACAATGTAAATCAATCACATTTCTGTGAAATCAAACTGTCCACTTAGGTAGCAACACTGACTGACAATCAATTTCACATGCTGTTATGCAAGTAGAATAGACAACAGGTGGAAAGCAGAGGCAGTTAGCAAGACATCCCCAATAAAGGAGTGGTTCTGTAGGTGGTGACCACAGACCACCTCTCAGTTTCTATGCTTTCTGGCTGAGGGTTTGGTCATTTTTGAATGCTGGCGGTGCTTTCACTCTAGTGGTAGCATGAGACGGAGTCTACATCCCACACAAGTGGCTCAGGTAGTGCAGCTCATCCAGGATGGCACATCAATGCAAGCTGTGGCAAGAAGGTTTGCTGTGTCTGTCAGCATAGTCTCCAGAGCATGGAGGCGCTACCAGGAGACAGGCCAGTACATCAGGAGACGTGGAGGAGGCCGTAGGAGGGCAACAACCCAGCATCAGGACCACTACCTCCACCTTTGTGCAAGGAGGGACAGGAGGAGCACTGCCAGAGCACTGCAAAATGACCTCCAGCGGGCCACAAATGTGCATGTGGCTGCTCAAACGGTCAGAAACAGACTCCATGAGGGTGGTATGAGGGCCCGACATCCACAGGTGGGGTTGTGCTTACAGCCCAACACTGTGCAGGACATTTGGCATTTGCCAGAGAACACCAAGATTGGCAAATTCGCCACTGGCACCCTGTGCTCTTCACAGATAAAAGCAAGTTCACACTGAACACATGTGACAGACATGACAGGGTCTGGAGACGCCGTGGAGAACATTCTGCTGCCTGCAACATCCTCCAGCATGACCGGTTTGGCAGTGGGTCAGTAATGGTGTGGGGTGGCATTTCTTTAGGGGGCCGCACAACCCTCCATGTGCTCGCCAGAGGTAGCCTGACTACCATTAGATACCAAGATGAGATCCTCAAACCCCTTGTGAGACCATATGCTGGTGTAGTTGGCCCTGGGTTCCTCCTAATGCACGACAATTCTAGATTTCATGTGGCTAGAGTGTGTCAGCAGTTCCTGCAAGATGAAGGCATTGATGCTATGGACTGTGGGTGCACGCCCGTTCCCCAGAGCTGAATCCAATTGAGCACATCTGGGACATCATGTCTCGCTCCATCCACCAACACCACGTTGCACCACAGACTGTCCAGGAGTTGGGGGATGCTTTAGTCCAGGTGTGGGAGGAGATCCCTCAGGAGATCATCTGCCACCTCACCAGGAGCATGCCCAGGCATTGTAGGGAGGTCATACAGGCACGTGGAGGCCACACACACTACTGAGCCTCATTTTGACTTGTTTTCAGGACATTATATCAAGGTTGGATCAGCCTGTAGTGTTTTTTTCCACTTTAATTTTGAGTGTAACTCCAAATTCAGACCTCCATGGGTTGCTAAATTTGATTTCCATTGATAATTTTTGTGTGATTTTGTTGTCAGCACATTCAACTATGTAATGAACAAAGGATTTAATAAGAATATTTCATTCATTCAGATCTAGGATGTCTTATTTTTGTGTTCCCTTTATTTTTTTGAGCAGCGTAGAATGCATCTTCCTCCCTCTCAGACGTGGAGCCTACTTTTTCAAAATGACTAAAAACAGTAAGCTCTGAAATCCTGTAGAGAGGTGGATTTTCTGTAACTCTTCCCTCACGGCTGGAGAAAGAAAAGTTTTGATTCTTTGTGACCAATAGCAGGTGCTGGGTACTGGGGCTAGGAAAACGAAAGAAATGCAGATCGTCCTCAATTTATAACCACAATTCAGCTCAAAATCTCTTTTGTTGAGTAAGACAGTTGTTAAGTGAGTTTTGCCCTATTTTACGACCTCTCATGCCTCAGTTGTTAATATGAACCAGTTGCTAAGCATCTGGATTTTGGTCACATGATCATGAGGAGGCTACAAAGGTCATAAGTTTGCAAAACAGTCATAAGTCATTTTTTTTCAGTGCTGTTGTAATTTTGAACGGTCACTAAATGAACTGTTGTAAGTCAAGGACTACCTGTACAGCACATTATTTTTTTACTAAGCCTCTGACTACAAGTTGAGTCTAGAAGCAATGTCCCTTGCCCAAGCTCACCAATGGAAGCAAACAAGCTCCATCTTGTGGTCTGCCTGGAACACTGCATGTTTTTTTTCCTCCCGTACGATCATTTCAAGTAGATAAAGTTTCATGCCTCTTGTACACTCACTTCTTTTTTTTAACAAAGTTTGCTTTGGGTGATATCTTGTAAGATTTGTGTGTATCACCAAAAAGGGCAAAGACAGTCTGAAATACTGGCAAATATTGGTAGCTCAGGTGTAGGATGAGGGTTATTCAAGCTTGTGGGTTGGTTTCCGAACATTTCGTTACCAGGCTAGAAAACATATTCAGTGAAGTTTAGGAGATGTCAGTGTTAGTGTTCTTCTGTTTATAAGGGCTTCATGTGGTCAGTAGTTCTTGGGATGACATCCTCGAAACTCCGCTGAAGATGTTACGTAGCCTGGGAATGAAACATTCAGAAACCAACCCACAAACTCAGAGAACGTACCTTCATCCTCAAGGTCT